TCAGAAAATAAAATAAACTATTTTCTGCTAAAATTTATTTTTAAAATGTTTTCAAAGTGTATGGAAGATAAATTGGAGCAATTTAAAGGTAGAAAGTAGCTTGTAAGATACGTCAGTCTTGAGAATGTGAATGAGACAAATATCATACTTAAAACTCTATTTTCAGAAAAGTTTTAAAATTCCAAGTTATCCCGAGACATTTGAATATGCTACAATGACACAAAATTATTTTTTCTAGCCTTTCCACATGTCTCTCCATCAGCTCTTTCTTGAATGAGTCTGATTATTAGCAGTCATATTCATCCTCATGACTCAATTATAAATATTTTTTCAACAGATCAAGAAACTATACTCCAGGCAACATCTGCTAGTTTTCTTTGTGCTTTCCTTCAGACTTTTGTTTCTGAGACTACATACTCCTCTTTCCCTAAATCTCTTCAACTTTTTTACTTCAGAGACACTTTTCTAATTGAGGTAACATTGATTATAACATATATCTTCTTTATCCACTCATCCACTGATACACACTTAGGTTGTTTTCATATCTTGGCTATTGTAAATATTGCTGTGATAATCTTAGGGGTGCATATATCTTTTCAAACTAGGGTTTTCATATTCTTCAGGTAAGACCCAAAAGTGAAATAGCTGAATCATGTGATGGTTCTCTTCTTAATTCTGGGAGGAATCTCGATACTGTGTACCATACCTGCTGTGCCGATTTACATTGACATTCCCACCAACAGTGTATGAGGGTTTCCTTGTCTATACCCTCTCCAATACTTGCAATTTCTTGCTATTTTATCAAAAGCCATTCTAACAGGCATACGATTATATCTTATTATGGTTTTTATTTGAATTTTCCTAATTTTAGTGATATTGTTCATCTTTTCATGTGTCTGTTCACTTGTATTCAAACCCCCTGCCAGTTTTTTTTTAATCAAATTGTCATTTTTGTTATTGAGTTATGTGATTTATTCACATATTTTGTATATTAACCTTTACCAAATATAACATTTGCAAGTACACTCCCCCACTCAGGAGGTTGACTTTTCATTTTGTTGATAGGTTCCTCTGTGCAGAAGTTTTTTTAGTTTCATGTAGCCTCATTTGTTTATTTTCCCTTTTGTTTCCCTCGACTGAGAAGACAATGAGAAGGATATTGGTAAAATGTCAGAGAGCATACTGCCTATGTTTCCTTCTAGGAATTTTATTATTTCAAGTTTTTAATCAATTTTGAGTGGATTTTTGTGCCTGGTGTGAGAGATTGCTTTAGTTTCATTCTTTGGCATATGGCCGTCTAGATTTCCTCAACACTATTTATTGAAGAGACTATCATTTCCCTATTGTATGCGCTTTGCTCCTCTGTTATAAATTAACTGCCTGTATTTGTATGGGTTTATTTATGGGATCTCAACTCTGTTCCATTAATTTCAGTCTTTTTTTTTTTTTGCCAATGCCAGGTCGTATTGATTACTATAACTTTTGAGAATAATTTGAAATCAGGGAGTGTGATACTTTCACCTTTGTTCTTTTTTTCTCTTTGGGATCTTATGTGACTCCCTACAAATTTTAGGGTTTTTTGTCTTATTTCTGTGAAAAATGTTCCTGGAATTTTGATAGGGATTACACTGAATCTGCAGATTGCTTTAGGCGGTATGACTATTTTAACAATATTAATTCTTCCAAGCCATGAGCACAGAAAATCTCTCCATTTCTTTGTCTCTTCTTCAATTCCTTTCAACAGTGTAAGTTTTCAGTGTACAGGTCTTTCACTTCCTTGGTTAAATTTATTCCTAGGTATTTTTTTTTCATTTTGATACAATTTTAAATGAATTGTTTTCTTGACTTCTCTTTCTGATAGCTCTTTATTATTGTATATAAATGCAACAAATTTCTGTGTATTAATCTTATAACCTAAAACTTCACTGAATTTGCTTATTAATTCTAATAGTTTTTTGGTGGAGTACTTATGGTTTTCTATATATAGTACTGTTATTGGCAATGAGAGAGAGTTTTACTACTACCCTTCTAATTTAGTTGCCTTTTTTTATTTCTTTTTCTTACCTGATTTCTGTGGCTAGGAATTCCAATACCACAGTGAATAAAAGTAGGGTTAGTGGACATCCTTGTCTTGTTCCTGATCCTAGAGGAAAAGCTTTCAGCTTTTTAACCAAAGAGTATGATGTTAGCTGAGTTGTCATATATTACCTTCCTACATTGAGGTACATTCCTTCTATATCCATTTTATTGAGTTTTATCATAAATGGCTGTTAAATCTTGTCAAATGCTTTCAATGCATCTATTGAGATGTTTGTGTGATTTTTATTTTTTGTTTTGTTAATATGGTGTATCATGTTGATTGATTTGTGGCTATTGAACCATCATCCTTGCATCCATGGATAGGTCCAACTGGACCAGGGTTTATGATCCTTTTGATGTATTACTGTATTCAGTTTGCTAATATTTTGTTAATGATTTTTTGCATCTATGTTCATCAGAGACATTGGCCTGTAATTATCTATTTTGTGTTGTTTTTGTCTGCTTTTGGTATCAGTATGAATGCTGGCTTTGTAAAATATGTTAGGAAGTATTCCCTTCTCTTCAGGCTTTTGGAAGAGTTTGAGGACAGGTGTTAATTATTCTCTGAATGTTCGTTAGAATTTTCCTGCCAACCCATCTAATTTTGGCCATTTGGTTTGGGGGAAGTTTTAGATTACTGTTTTAATTTCCTTACTAATTATCAGTCTATTAAGATTTTCTGTTTCTCACAATTCAGTCTTAGAAGGTGGTATCATTCTAAGAACTTGTCCATTTATTCTAGGTTGTTCAATTTGATGGTGTATAGTTGTTCATAGGATTCTCTTATGATTTTTTGTATTTCTGTGGTTTGCACTATAATTTTTTCTTCTTTAGTTTTTTATTTTATTTACCTGAGTCTCCTCTTATTTTTTTCTTAGTTAGTCAGGCTAAAGGCTTTATCATAATATAATATCTATTTTTGTCTCCTGTTACCATTTTTGGCTTGATGGTCTGACATAAGTATGGCTACACCATACTTCCTTCTGGTTGCTGTTTGCTTGGAGTATAATCTTTCATTCCTTTTCTTTGATCCTATATTTGTCTTCAGCACTGAGTCTCCCAGAGATAGAATAACATCGGGTCTTGTTTTTTTTCTTAATCCAGCCGGTAACTATGTGGCTTTTGATTGATGAATTCAATCCACCTACACTTGGAGTACCTGTTGATGAATGAGACAGCACTGCCATTTTATCTTCTGTTTCCTGGTTGCTCTATACCTCCATTTTTCTTTTTCTTACGTTTCTATCTGCCATTTTAGTTTGGTGGTTTTCTAAGATGTTTGCTCAGTTCCTTTTTTTTTTTTTTTTATGTTTTGAGTCTCTTCTCTAGATTTATGTTTTGTGATTCCTATGAAGTTTGTATATAAATTCTCATAAATAAAATAGTCCTTTTTACTTTGTGAGTTTATAACCAAACTGAAGTTGCTACGGTTATTCTTACTGACTTCTTCGCCTTTAACCTGTATGCTATAATTAAGTATTTAACAGCCTACTCTGGTACAGAATTTCATTATTTTTGCCTTTTCATTTCAGGTAGGAGAGCTCCTTCCAACATTTCCTGTAAGGCAGGTCTAGTGGTGATGGACTCCCTCAGCTTTTGTCTGCCTGAGAAAGCATTTATTTCTCCTTCAGATATGATAATACCTTTGCTGGATTCAGAGCACTCTCGCTGAACATTATCTTTCAATATTTTTAATATATCATTCAACTCTATCCTGGCCTATAGGGTTTCTGCTGAGGTATCTGCTGATAGCCTAATGAGGGGTCCTTTGTAGGTCACTGTCCTTTTCCCCTTGCTATCTTTAGAATTCTTTCTCACTCACTTTTGACAGTTCTAGTATACTGTGTCTTTGATAAAGTCTTTTTGTGTTGAGGTAATCAGGTGTTCTCTAAGCTTCATGGACTTATATATCCAGTTCTTTCCCCAGGTTTGGAACATTCTCAGCTATTATTTAAATAAACTCTCTGCCTCCTTCTCCCTCTCCTCTCCACTTGTAATACCAATTATTCTTATGTTGAGCTTCCTAATGAAGTCATATAGTTCTCACAGAACCTCCTCAATTTTTTATATCATAGTTCTCTTTCCTCTTCTAACTGTTATTTCTGTATTTCTATCTTTGAGCTCACTAACTCTGTCTTCCATATAGTCTGTTCTTACAATGCTTCTGAATGTGTTCTTCAATGCATTTATCGAGTTCTTCAGCTCCAAGATTTCAGTTTGGTTCTTTTTATACAGAAAATCTCTATAGAAAATCTATAGAAATCTATAGAAAATCTCTATAAAATCTCTTTGGTAAAGTATTTTTTCTACTCATTATCTTTGTTTCTAAGCTCACTGGATTTCCTTTCTGAGTTCTTTTGTAGCTCACTGAGTTTATTCAGAACAGCTCTTGTGAATTCTCTATTAGTTCAAGCACAATATTGCATGACTTTAAGTTCAGTTTATGGAGTTATAACATCTTCTTGTGACACCATGATATCATGTTTTTCCATGTGCTTGATGGTTATTCCTCTACTGGTGCATCTGCGGTTAACAAACACATTTCTCCTTTAGGCAAAGCTTTTTTTACTTGATTCTGACAATTCACCATTAGCAAATAAAGGTCTTTCTTTTGTTTTTCAGTCCATGGTGCTATAGCGCAAATTTTTGGTTTCTCTTACCTGAGCTGTGCTGTTCTGTGATAAGTCACTTCAGTCGTGACTGACTCTTTGCGACCCCACGGACTGTAGCCCACCAGGCTCCTCTGTCCATGGAATTCTCCAGGCAAGAATATTGGAGTGAGTTGCCATTTCCCTCCAAGGGATCGTCCCAACTGAGGGATCGAACCCACCTCTTACGTCTCCTGCACTGGCAGACAGGTTCTTTACCACTAGCGCCACCTGGGAAGCCCCAACCCGAGCTGACTCTGGTCACATTTAAGATCAGCACTTTGTATCATCTACCACCTCTGCCAGAGGTATTGCCCAGGGCCCCTGTTGCTGGCGCTGTGCCTCCTGGGTCTCCAGTGCCTTCCTGCTGCTGATGCTGCAGCTCTTGCTGGAACACAGGGATGGCTGGCGCTTCCACCTCGACTGGGGTTGCGGCCTCTGACCGCACAGGCGGAAATGGGTGAAGACGAGGGTGTCTCTGCTACCGCTGGGCTTGTCAGGTTCACAGGTGCCACTACTGCAGATTGGGGGGCAGAGACACAGGTGCTTCCCCAGCTGGAGGGGTAGGGTCACAGGCCGTGATGCTGCTGTCCACTTCTCTGTGGCCATGGACGCTGCTGTGGCCAGGAAGCCAGATAATGTGCATCGCGTCTTCTCCTGATCCTGGGTCCTCTGAGCTGGAAGGCTCAGCTGCTGTGGCTAGGGGTGCACCAGGGGTGCAATGACAGTCATTGCCTTCACTGTCCCCCCAGTTTTTCCTCCTCCATTTGCTTCAATACACCCACTTTAGATATATGGATATGTGGAATTTTCCAGCAACCGAGTGTGTTGGGCAGCAGAACTTTTGGTGAGTTATGGACATTTTACTGATTGTAGATTGAAATGAACATCTCATGCTGCCACAGAGCTGATGTCCTGACTGATATTTCTCCAACGCTTACAGTCAGAGTACTCTTCCAGACCCTAACCACCTTATTCTCAAATTATATAAATGATTATAATCAACAACTTTATCATAGATATATTAACAATAGTAATAAGCTCGCCTTCCCCCAAATCATTTTAATACAAAAGTGGGAAAATCATAACATGATGCTAAAGACAAATTCAGTTCCATCTGAATTTTATTCAGTTGTATCTTGAGTTAAGCAGAACCTAAGTCTGAATTTTGTGTCCCAGAATTGCCTTATGTGCTTAAATGTCATCTACAAATTATTAACATACGTTAACAAGAGACATAGATTTGAGTATCTAATTCAAGTCTAACATATGTAGACTTTATTACAGTGTTTTATTCAAAACAGAAGATCAATTACTATTGACTATTTTTTGGACATGAAAATTCTGAGGAGAAAACAAGTAATTCAGCATTACCTTACTTAGAATGATAGTAATTGATAACAACACACAAAGAATCCACATCTTGCCCTGAGAAGATTTCTAGAGTAGTTAGAAGAAGCGAATGATAGTTTGAAGGGTGCTGTTTAACTTTCCAGGGCCACTACACAATCTTCACGGTAGATAACACTAGAAGAGAGGGCATTAGTGTCAAGTCATGGAAGAAGAGAGGATATGTAACATCGAATGAAAAGATGTTTAAATCTAATTGTCTTTCTCTTCCACAGAGTCCATCACAACATAGAGGCAAAAAAGCAGTATTTTTATTTATGAGGTTTTCAAGTCCTGTCAGCAGAAAGAGCCTGGAAAGCTCTCAGATCAAGATGCTAATCTGACTCCAAAGAAGCTGATGCATCTTATCAAAGTTCTATGAGAAAGATAGCTTATGAATATGGCCAGATGGAGAGCTGCATAACTTTGCAGGGGAGAAATTCACATGAGAATTACAATGAAAGGAGGGAAGGAACCCCTGCAAAGCTCTAATTTCCAACAGCTCCAAGCATAAATTTAACCAAATTAAAAACTTTTCATATGGGTGCAACTGAGCTAGCCATTAGTATAAAGAAATATATTACAGCAAAAGCTATTTGGAGGCATTGAAGTATTCCAAGAACATACCAACATGGGTGCAGATCATTTTTTTCCATTCAAAAGACTGCATTTCCATTACTGCTTATTGCCATAGACTCAAATGGGAAAACAGTATTTGGATATTCCCTCTCAGGATTAACTTCAAGAGACTTTGCTAGGTAAAAGCAGAACGTTTACCGGAACATGCAGATCAGGTTGCAGACTTTTAATTTTAGTGGCAAAATGGCAATGAATGAGATAAGCCACTCGAGAATTGATTTGTCAAATCCCCATATCCTAGGCAAAATGACACGAGCAGTGGGTCCAAGAGCAAAAACAGTGACTTCTAGCTGCTATAAGTTGGCCAGGAAGACATCCTCAGTGAAACAACCAAACTTCTTACCAATAGAAGAACAAAAGACTGTCAAGGATAACAAAGCCCCCTGCCCACGATCTTTTGCTGTCTTTGGCCCTCCTCTTCTTCACCATGTCCCACCTCACATATTTTCACCTCTAAAATTATCCTCCTTTACGTCTGCCAGCAAATTTTACCATAGAATCATTATTTCTACCAGGCCACACTGCCATTTCCAAATGTCTGCTACTCAGCTTCACTAAAATGAGGCATTTACAGTCTCACATTCAACATGTTCTAAAATCAAACCTTGGCCAGCTAAGCCAGTTCCCCCCTTAATCGTCATTATCTGTTAATGAATCACATTATCCCATGGACTCAGATGAAATATTCCAACTATTTTTATCCTCTCATTCCTTCTCATCCTAACCCAATCAATTCCTTGTCACAAAACCCACCTCCTCTGCAATGTTTCCCATCTAGATATGAACCATAAAAATAAAGCTGAAGGTTGTTCCTTGTGAGACATGGCCTAAACAAAGGAGTCTATGGAATGGTTGACGAGGGATGTGCTTCACAGAACACAAGAGATAAGAAAAAAAGCAGGAGACAGTTGGTAAGAAGAAAAGCACAAAGAGAAAAAATAAACTCAAGGAAATTATTTTTACTTCTTCTGGAGAAATTGACAAGTTTTCAAGAGCCTTGAAGTGCAAGTTGCCCACAGCTGAAGCAGGCAGTATCTAATGATACAAGTAATGGATCTCATAAGAATAGATCTCAGAGATCATGGTTGAGTATTGAGCAGGATTACAGCCAAACCGAGAAAGGTGGAAAATATAAGAGGCTCTCCTCCTGTTCAACCAAGAAAATCAAGCTGGCTCTGAAGATAAAAATTATTTCAGCACTGGGGCTAACTGAAGTAATATGTTTCAAGTTAATTAAATTGCTTGTAAATATAATTTTAAGTTAAGCACATTGGCCTTGAATTTCACAGGTGCCCAAAGGTCCACAAGATAGAGAACCTCATCCAGATGTCATCACCTCATCTAGATAGGCTCAGTGCTCTTCTAAATATTCTCCTGCCGATTAATCTTTCTTCCCTTTCTTCCTCAGCCAGTTTTCCTTTCTAAAGTAATTGTTGACTAAGGCTCTACCTTTTTCTTAAAAAGCAACAGGTTTTTAATATATCAATTTACTATTTTTAATATGTGTTAGATAGAAATAGTGGACTTTGTCTAATATTCAAAACCTTTTACAATCTGGATCCAGCCTAAGCTTCTCTATATCATTGCATTCTGAATACTGTATAAATTTTCAGTTCAATAAAAACATTTATTAATAAAATATTTTAGCCATATTAAACAAATCAGCCATACCATATTCTATCCCATCATAGCACATATTTCCACACTTGCTTATTTTTGTTATTTGCATTCCCTCTGCTTAGAATTTGTCCTTATGTCTACTTCTTGATATTGTGTTAAACCTCAAAAACCCAAATCAAATGTCCCCTACTTCTCGAAGTCCTTTTTGTCCTTCTTTTGCTCTCAACTTTTAGAGGGCTTTGGTCATTGTCTCTATGGTATTTTCCATATTTTGCTTCAAACTGTCAAAACTGAATTGGAAAAATATGGGCAGTGACATATTTTGTGCTGTAATTCATGTATATATCCCTATAGATATAATCCCTATTGGGCTTCCCAGGTGACTGAGACAGCAAAGAATCTGCCTGCAATGCAGGACACCTGGGTTTGATCCCTGGGTTGGGAAGATCCATTGGAGAAGGGCATGGCAATCCACTCCAGTATTCTTGCCTGGAGAATCCGTATTAACAGAGGAGCCTGACAGGCTACAGTCCATGGGGTCACAAAGAGTCGGACATGACTGAGCAACTAAACACATAATTACTATAGGTATAGTTTTATTCCAGTAGGTTTCTAGGTCATTACAAATTATTATAATATAGTGGCTTAAAACAACAGTGGAAACAGTGGCTGACTTCCTTTTTTGAGGCTCCAAAATCACTGCAGATGGTGACTGCAGCCATGAAATTAAAAGACACTTGCTCCTTGGAAGGTAAGTTATGACCGACCTAGACAGCATATTAAAAAGCAGAGACATTACTTTACCAACAAAGGTTCCATCTAGTCAAGGCTATGGTTTTCCCAGTGGTCATCTATGGATGTGAGATTTGGACTATAAAGAAAGCTGAGTGCAGAAGAATTGATGCTTTTGAACTGTGGTGTTGGAGAAGACTCTTAAGAGTCTCTTGGACTGCAAGGAGATCCAACCAGTCCATCCTAAAGGAGATCAGTCCTGGGTGTTCACTGGAAGGACTGATGCTGAAGCTGAAATTCCAATACTTTGGCCACCTGATGCGAAGAGCTGACTCATTGGAAAAGACCCTGATGCTGGGAAAGATTGAGGGCAGGAGGAGAAGGGGACGACAGAGGATGAGATGGTTGGATGGCATCACCCACTCAATGGACATGAGTTTGAGTAAACTCCTGGAGTTAGTGATGGGCAGGGAGGCCTGGCGTGCTTCGGTTCATGGGGTTGTAGAGTCAGACATGATTGAGCGACTGAACTGAACTGAAAACAGCACAGATTTATCATCCAACAGTTCTAACATGGTTTCACTGGAATAAAATTGAGTCAGTAGGGTATCATTCCTTTCTGGAAGCTCTAGGAAAGAATCCATTTCCTTGCCCTTTATAGCTTCTAGATGTCACTCATGTTCCTTGGCTAATGAGTTCTTTTCTTCATTTTCAAAGCTGGAAAAATTATCTCCAGTTACTGTCTTTGTTTTAAACTCTATTTTAGCTGATACAGAAATAGCTATTCCTGGTTTTGCTTTGTTTACATTTACATGGAAAATCTCATTCCATCCCTTCTGTTTCAGGCTGTACATCCACAATGCTGAAGTGATATTCTTTCAGGCAACATAAAATTAGGTATTGTTCTTTTATCCAACCAGACACTCTATCTTTTAATTGAAGAATCCTATCCATTTTTATTTAAGGTAATTACTGATAGGTTTTGACTGAATATGGCCATTTTGTTCAGGGTTTTCTGATTATTTTGCAGTCCCTTGGTTTCTTTCTCTTTATCTCTTCCTTGTGATTTGATTATTTTCAGATCATCAAATGATCTGAAATCATTTGATACTTTGTCTCCTTTATCTTTTGTGTGTCTACTAAAGGTTTTGCTTTGTGGTTACCATGAGGCTTACATGAAACATCCTACAGTTATAAGTCTGTTTTAAGCTGGTAACAACTCAACTTCA